GAAAGGGCAAAACTGTCAAAAACATTGACACGTGTAGAACCATGCCTGCAGATTAACATGTCATCGAAAAGCAAAGAGCACGAAAATAATAAATATATGGTACATCACGGCCCATCCTTCACTGGGCACCCTAAAAGGAAGAGATTTGAACCAAAGTCCAACTCCTACCTATGCAGTAACCTTGGGATAGAAATCCTCTGCTGCTTCTCACACGAGGGCACTTCAGTGCTTGAGTTCCTGGAGTATGGCCGTTCCTTGAAGCTGCTACAAGTGAGTAAGATAAGACCCAATTAGCTTAGTTGGTTTCAAAATGGGATCCTTTTGGTGTGGTCTGTGAACAATACTGTGCACCTCAGACGGGCAGTCTGAAGTCTCAGTTGTCGATAGGATGCTGTGCTTTTTCTCAGTGGTGCCTTTCAGTATGATGTTCACAGGGAGGTGAAAAAGAGACGGGTTTTGGGCTGGTCAGCCCAAACCATTCTGGTCAGCAGAGAGTTTGGTTGCTAGTTACGAAGCCAGTGGAGTGAATAGTTTCACGTTACTTGCACTATTAGCAGAATTCTGCTTCCAGTCATGGCTGGCATATGCCCTTCTCCCAAGCCCCAGGGCACATTCCTATATTATCAAAGTCTCTTTTCAAATTTATAATGCCTGATAAGGAGTACCTGGTAAGCAACATGAGTTTGGACTTACTTGGGCTTCCTGACTAATATAGACTGAACAGTTTCACATGACTTGCATACAGGCCTGATGTTCTTGGGTGTCTAACAAATGTCAAAGATGCCTACAGGCTCTTTCCCCTAGTAGTAAGCAAATTTCCATGCTTCTACAGATATCATGACCTTTGACAATATTAAAGATAGCACAGAGATGATAGTAATCACAGCTAACAACTAACCCGCACGTGCTTTTTGCCATTGTTATAAGTGGGTAGTATTAACATGATCTCCACTTAGTAGATGTTGAAACTGAACCAAATAGTAGTTCTACTAGATGAAGTAGAAATGTTGGATGGTTTGAATTTAGTCTCACATTTGGACAAGATACCCAAGATTGAAGGTTAAAACAAACTGTTGGCCCAACCTTTATTTTGCAGTGCAGGAATTTTACATTTTCTGTTTTTATAATGTACCTTGGTCAAACAAACTTTTAAAATGAGGTTCCAGAAAAGATTATTGGAGGTCTTACCATTTATAAAAGGAAGGTGACATTTAATGCACAGGACTTCTTTAACAAATGAGTTTTCTAACTATTGGTAAAACAGGAACTTCACCATTTAGTGTCTGTATGAGCATAGATTTCATGTGGAATTGAGGGTTGTCAAGGGCCATTTGGACTGTAGGACTTTTGCCTTACCTGCCTTTCTGAAAACTTGCTTAAGATGCAATTCTACTCTGAGCCCTTGAAATACAATAGATCTTCTGAAGATTTCCTCAGTGGTCCTCAGAATGGCACACCGCTAAACACCACGCTGTAGTGACTGCTCGGATGGAAGAGTAACACGTGCTTGCTGATTAAAAGCTAGAGCAGGGGAAGAGTGGGGCAAGGAGCCGTCGAATTCCACAAGGATGGCTGACTGGCCGGCCAGCAGGTATTCCATTTTTACTTAAAAAGAAACAACCCAAAATATTTTCAAGAATTCGTGCACCATATTTTAAAGTTTTCAATGTATGATTTAGAATACTTAGAACAAATTTTATGTATTAAAAATACTCTTAAATGATCATTGAGTTTACCCAAGATAAAAGGGGTAAAATACCTGTAAACTATAGAAAACTATATAAATCTACAGAGGTGGATTGCCTTGGTAGAAACTTTTACTATATTTAACCTAGATCTTAAAATCCAAGAGAGAAACAGAGGTAATGAAAAGTACAAGGAAGATAAATAAGTAATGAATTATCTTAGGTTTTATTTGATATTTTCATTTACAGTTCTGGCACTGACACTTTTAAAAATTTTTTTAAGATTTTGGTTTTATGAAAAGAACGGACTTCAATAAAATAACTTAAAAATATGACATGTACATCACTACATTTCCATAAAATATACAGTGATTTTGATACAGCATAGACTACAATGACTTTGAAGGCAATGGTACATATTCATTATTTGAAAGCTATATCTCACATGTCCACTGTGGGAATAAATATTTATGCTGAATTACCAAGATGTATGAAGTATTAAATATTGTAACATGCAATCATAAATTAAAAATATACTTTTGAAATATATCTATTTTTAAAAGCATAAAACATTTCAGTCTAGATGTACATTAGAACTTCTAAATAGAAATTTAAACTTCCATAAATAAGTAAAAGGTGCTACAACAGAATGATATACTCCAAAAACAGTTAGGAAAACTGTGGGCAGGGGTAATAGGCGTTTCTGCTTTGGCTAGATTTTAAGTCTCAGCTTTTTGTAACCTTCAAATGAAATGAAGTGATGTTGATTTTAATACAATTTTAACACTTTATAAAATATTGATTTAAGATTTTTAATTATATGTCAGCAGCATGGCCCATCTTGATGTGACACAATCAAATGCATACATGTAATTGCCTAAAATAAAAATATGTATGTTAAAACTAAATTAAAGTATTAAAAATGTACATTAACCAAATCATTCTATTGCAACAGGTTGTATTTTACACAAAGTAAATATTTATAGAAATTATATTGTTTAACACAAGCAAATTTGCAAAAAATACTCTCATGTACAAAATACCTTGCTAATAATTATTGGGACTCAAAACTCTTCCATAAGAGCCAATATAAAAGAAATAATTGATCGGTGTTAGCTGTTTCTTTTTTAAAATGTGGTCATTTTTTAAAATGCCAAACTGCTATATTGCTCACCTAGAAGAGCAAAAGTAATGACAGCTGATCACTTCATCAACTAGCTTAACATTACATACGGTACAAGAAGCGCGGAAGTTTGACAGATAATGACAGAAGGGGTAAAAAAAGACACAAGTTTTCCGGAGAACAATTCAGAGCCTATTTATAGGCAGTAGTTACACATAAGCTATAAATTTTACTCACTTAGTACATTTCACCATAAAGCATGTATTATGGAGTTCTGGTATATGGCCTGTTATATCATCTCTTTCCTTTTTTGCCAAATTAGTGAATAAGTTTGAATTTATTAATTGAAAGCTCGTCACACAAAATAAATAAACATCAATTTGTTAGGCACCTAATATATATATAATTTGACAACATGGAAAATGGTTTTAAAAATCTGATGTCTGAATAATTTTACTGTTCTTCATTCTTTTTGCAGTGAAATAAAATCAAAGCCACCCTCCCCCAGTATTTATGAATTGTATTAGCATCATTAAATGTGAAATGCTATTAGGCAATAGAAATTAGTTTTTTCTTGAATATCCCTTTCTTCGGGATCTTTTGATTATTTAATACATTTTAAATTGACTTAGCTATTTACAAGCAAAAAGACAAATTACCAGTATATTTTTCCTGATCACTCTTCCCCGGGATAATTGATTTTGAAATTATAATTGAATTTCTAAATTCTCCATTTTAACATGCTTTGCCTTAAAATGCTTTCCCATTTTAGACTTAAAAAAGACACTTAAGTACTAAAATCTGGTTCAATGGTAAAGGTAAATGAAAAGTTCTCTGTAGCATTCTTTTCACAGCATTTTTTCTTAAAATCAGGGAGCTAACAATTGCACGAAGCTGGGAATAAAACTTTAAACCAAAGCCTTTTTTATTTGAAGAGAAAGCCACCTAATGAGTTAAATATAGTCTTAATTTAGATCTTCATATATTTAAAAATAATCATGTTTTAAAAAATCTTTTGCAACAATTAATAGGAATGTTTATATTGAAGAAAACAACACTAAATTTTAGAAATCTATATATCACATTGAACTTGACATGTTCAAAAGCAGCCAAAATGTTATATGCACTTAAGTCTAGCATAGATTTCATCAGCTATCCAGCTAAGCTTCCATAGGGAAATGACCATCTTCACTATATTTTCTAAAGCGTAACGTACCTCTATTGAATCTGCAGCTTATTTAGGAGGAAACCTATAAATCCAACTGAAAGCATGGTGCTTAATGCTTTTCCTGTTTAGTATGGTGTGTCAAATCATACCATATATAAATAGTTCTACAAAAAACATACGGGATGTTATTGCAAATGGAATGTCTTTACGTTGATAGTGATCACCAAAAATTCTTAGAACTTAAATGTGCAAAATATTAAAATAAAACCTTCAAAATTCAAATGTTTAATTTTGATTATACTATAAATGTTCACTGAATCAAAAAATAATATCCTAGTTGTGTAAGATTCCCTTTCAAATTGTTACTACTTTTTAAAAAATTAGAAATAATTCTTACACTGTGCTTCTGTATCTTACAATTCAAAGATATGGACTATGATCAATATTACTCTAAATTTCATGGAGTCACTAGAGAAGGGGCTCAGCAGAACGGGAAGCTCTGTGACTGATTTCCATGTTAGTGTGATGGTGTATGGCTACAAAGTTGAAAGCGTCATTTCCTATTTCTGGGAGCACGGGGCCTGTCTGCTTCAAGAAACAATGAGTCCGGTTGCTCCTTGAATAAGGCCCAGCTGATTGTATAATCATAAAGTTAAGGCTATGCATATAATACAAAGAAGAACGGAGGCAATTATTTGGATGAATCAGAAAAATAAACTTTTAAAGAGCATCTTATTGGTCCAAATACTTTTTCTCCCTATCATATTCTGATTTAACCAGATAACACCTCATTTTTTCATTTTACTTTATGTAAAATATTACACATATAAGATTCTCATAGGATAAAAATATCAGTAGAATTGTAACTTCTTTATTGGAAAATGACTTTTGGGGGTGGGTGGGAAGGGATCAATATTAATATTCCCTTAGAATTGAACTGTCAAAGGAGACAATTTAAAGGGAAAACACCTCTCTAAAATATTTTTGTTACACACAATTATAGGAAAAAACCTTTATTTTTTGGCTGATGGAGTTTTTGTCTAGTTGAAATGAAATTCTCGGCTTGGACTGGTGTAAGGAACACACATGATTTTAAAAGGAGAACTGACCATCTTGGAGACTGACTGAAACAATATGAATTTAAAGATAGCTTTTCACTAAATTGGTCCTTTATTAGATCCTTGGGGCCATATCCAAATGCCTCACACTTGTGCATTCATAACTGGCCGTGAAAGATTCTTCCACATTTTCATTGGAACTAGCTATTAATTTTGTACGTACTATGTAGTTCTTGCTCTGAGTGCCAAAAAAAGAGTTCACAATAAATGACCATAAAGACCAATGAAGCCCTGAAAAGAGCTTGCTGACGTGTAGCTGGGCATATTCCTAGACTCCCAGTTTCTAGACGAGGAAACAAGTCCAAGGCAAACCTAAGAAACACACAAATCTATTTAAAATCTTTGTAAATGTTCAGGAAAATGAGAAGGGTATGCTCTGAGATATAAAAAAATATTACTAATATGTGAGAACTCCTTATGACATTAATACAATGCTAAGTAAAAATATACCCCACGATTTTAATTGACCTGAACACAGAGTAAAGCAGAATTATGTCTGTCATTAACTTCATTCCTTTTTTCTATCAGGAATTCGTGTTTGATTAAAAGAAAGGGGGAAACAGTCTGCTAGCAACTCTCTGTGTGACACAAATGAAGGCACACCGTAGACTTCGGGGTCACTGAGGAACAAGGCATGGGGATGACCAGGTGCCTGTGGCGTGAACAAAAACCGTCCCTGAAATACAGTGGGAAACTGGAGCTACCAGATGTGTACAACTGTGAACCAAGGTATGAGGCAGGGATCCACAAAACACGTTTGTTTCTCATCTAGCAATAAAATACACTTTTCAAAACGTCTAAGCATTTAGCACTGATGTAAGTACATGTGTAAAAATAAAACCTAAAAGGCCTGCTTCTGACAATGTTCAAAGATCATATGCAGAATCAGTCTAGAAACTCTTAAGGGCTGAATTAGGAACAGAACTCAAAATGTGGATTCCAAAGGACAGCTGGATGCTTACAGAAGGAACCTTTGAATTGTTGGCAAAATGTAAGTGCAATTTACTTTTAATAGCTGTTCAGATAGGCTACTTCTCAGGAAGTCATGTTTTGACATAAACACCATCTGACTATAAGAATCCTATTTTAATATATTCTGTCGTACAGAATTTGGCTAGTTTAGTACTGACTCTGTTGCCACTAATAATTACAATATGGTGTTCGGTAAAATGGAGGCCACTTTAATCACTGGGTACAATACTCATTGTAGACGACCTCAGGAAGGAGTCACACACAATTGTTCAAGAACTACTAAATCAAAGTCTCTACTTAATTTTTTTTTTACATTTCTGCTTGTGAAAACAAAAACAAAAAACATCCCTAAACTCATCAGGATTGTATCCTGTTTCTAATCAAGTATTCTAGACTGTGAAGTCATTCAAAACTAGACCGTAGAAAGAACGAGATTTGAAGCAGGGCAGTGAGGTCACCGATTACTGCTCTTCACTAACTAAGTATAGTGTCAGCAGCTGCACATTATTCCACATCAGAAGCATCGTTGTCAGAAAGATGATAGTTACTTCCTTTTACTCGAATATATTCAATATATCTCCCTTCGTCCGAATCTGAAGTGCCACATGTGCATAGCCTGTTGTCAAAGAGTGATTCAATTTCCTCCAATTTTTTCCCTTTGGTCTCAGGAAGACAGCCGTAGATGAAAAGTAGTCCGACAGCAGCAAGTCCGGCATAGAGGAAGAAGGCTCCTGCAATTGAAAATACGTATGTATGTGTGCATATATGCACCAGTGAACAGAGTACTTGATTTTGACTCTTCTTTCTGATCAATAACTATAGTAACACCTGGGACCAAAAAAAGGATTTCAGTTTCACTTACTCAACCAGTTTTGGCCCTATAAATATAATGACAATGCAGT